TGTTGCGTCAGGAAGGATAGGCGGGACATGTATCCTCAAGCTTTGCTTTTATCTGCGTTACTATGCTGTACAGTTCTAAGCTCCTGGAGGAGACGGATCGCAGAATTTGATCTACGTGCCGGCTTCACAGGGCCAGACATCCGGACTACACCTTCCTTAGTTGCTCTTTCTCTGCGCACCTCGTCGCAACCTTGTAAGGATGTACAAAGGTTGGTCAGTAGAGCCAATTCCAGGATATTATACAGTATTTAAATGATCGTCACTATATCAAGAGGGGTGTGCTGGTCATAGAGGGACGGTAGCCATCGGCAGCGTCATAGTACGACGCGTTCACCTAGCGCTCAGACGTTTCAATTCCGCAGGGGTAAAGGCTTGAATCTAAATGTCTCTAGCATCATGCGAAATCTGCCCCAGAGGTGTGGTAGAATCATATGGTTCGTCTCTTCATTCAGATGACGGAACGAGCCGGACGGGATACATCTGGCTGGTGGATACTATCTTACCCATCGCGGCCATCTACACACACCCCGTTTGTGGTTCCAAAGACATCATTAAATCCGCATCTCCCGGTTAAAGTGAAGTTCATCCGTCGACGTTCGTTGCAGACACGGCCGTCCCTCGGACTCCAATCATGTTGGCATACCTCAACCTCGGCCCAAGGAACTGGTAAATAGCAGACAGGGTTGTTTGATAAACTTCCAAACAGGCCTCAACAGTCAGAGTCCTGGTAGAGTTGGCGAGCCGCCACAGATCACGGCGCTGCAGTAACGGCTGTGCTTGCCCCGTCAAAGTGCTCCGTGATATAGTCAGTCAACGCTCTGACGTGGGCCCACATTTTCTGATTGTATTGGTTCTCCAGGCTGGGTCCAAATTAGTCCTCGATCACCCACAGGACAGACCAAGTACGGGCAGGCTTCAGGACGGGTACTAGGGATACCTTCTCTCTTGTTGCAGATCGTCCACCCATTTTTTGAATGTTTCCTGGAGTGTTTCGTGCCGCTGCTCGAGGCTTGATCATCATATTCTTCAGCTATCTGGTTCTGAGAACAGTGAAGTAGTGGACCTCTGGCACACTGACCGTTGTATACTTTCGCGGAGCGCTCTGACATGTAATCAGCCGTTGTAAGAAGCAATAGCCAGAAAGGAGGTCACCGTACTTGACGTCGTCTTCAATATTTCGGGTCCGGGGTTCCTCATGGCTGCAGCAGGTTAGGGCTGGATGACCTGTAGGGGACGGGACTGTGTACACCCGGTGATCCTGGTCGGCTTCCAGCCTGTCACGATCAGTCATGGTGGCCAAGACGGTACCCGTACTGAACCTACGTGTCGATGCTACTC